ATTCGCCAAGGTACAGGATAGTTCTAGAAACGTGGCGTGACATTAGTCATGTGACTTCGCTGACGCAACAATATTAATTGTTCTGATTAACCCTGTATTTCACGATCTAGATCTTTTATGCTACTTTCCTTCTAAAAGTAATATTAACTGTTCTCCTTAAATCTGTAGTTCTAGATCTAGAACTTTTGTGTTACTTCACTTTTGAAAGTAATATTAATTTTTCTGATGAAAACCATAGTTCTAGCTACATGTTACTTAACTTTTGAAAGTAACAGTAATTAGTTTGATGAACTCTGTTGTTCTGGGTCTAGACCTTTTAAGTTACTTTACTTCTAAAAAATAATATTAACTGTTCTCCTTAACTATGTAGTTCTAGATCTACACCTTATATATTATTTCACTTGTGAATGTAACATTAATTTTTGTTGTGAACTCTGTACTTCTAGGTCTAAACCTTATACGTTACTTTACTTTTGAATCTGAATCTAATATTAATTGTTCTGAGAAACTCTGTAGTTGTAGATGTAGACCTTATATGTTTATTCACTTCTGAATATATTATTTGTTCTGATGAGCTCTGTAGTTCTAGGTACATATCTTATATGTTACTTCACTTCTGAATATAGTATTAATTTTCTGAAATGTTATGAAAATTGAGTTATATAAATAAATGTTCTTAAAACTAATTTCATTGTGTTTTTAAATACCTATTTCAAGTAATCTAGACATCTGTGTATGGAACGGGTAATTCAACTAGTTTAGCCAATAAGACAGTATAGTTTCGTCTCAAGTTTACTTACCGATTAATTATATTTATTACAAGTTACAGCTTTTATCGTAAAAAATATTTATAGAACTGGTACGACGTTTCAATCACTTGTGAACTTTAGCATGATCACACTAGTGACCGAAAAGTCCTGCCTGTTCTAAAAACACATTTTACTAACCTTAAAAGCTGTAACTTGTAGTATAATAAGACAATCTGTTAACTCCAATTTTTATGCTCTTAATCTGCTGCATTATAAATGTTACAAAGAAAGCAAGAAAAATATTTATTACTTAATATAGAAAATACAACGTGTTTTACTTCTACAATTATAGATGAAAGCTTTACAATTTATACCATGATACGTTCTGGAGTTCAAAATAAAAATTTGCTGTTCAAACAAACAAAAACAGAAGTTCTTTCTCCAACAAGATGTTAACAAGATTTCAGTTGACAGTGCCGATATTTCCACCTTCGATCCCTGTTTAGAGAAAATAAAACTATTTATAGGAACACATAAAAACAATAATTCACAAATTACAATCTACAGTTATAATTACAAGTTTATAATTAGTTTATATCAAAATAATAATACAAAATATCTTTATTCCTAAAAACACTTCAAACGTTCAGTAAAACATTGTTACGTATCTGCTTGTTTGTCAATTTCCGGTAGAAAGACTTTCCGCAAAACTTCAGCGATACATGTCCTTTCCTAGTTAAACCAGTTTATTCTTGCTCGATACAAACTTTTAGCACACAGTAATTCCACATTCAGTACGTTTCTCGTCACTTTCAACTTAACGACTTTTATAATACATGCTATAAATCACAGCTATTCACAATCTTTACTTACCGTCACTATTGTTCTCTACTTTAATTATCTATCTCTCGCTGGCTTTTCTGCCAGGCTTATATACTAACAAAGTGGGCGTCTCGAATGCACTTGGGCCTCCCAATCATTCATGATCATTCGAGAAATTAATCACGTGTTACCAGAGTCACGTGACTTCCGCTGTCGTAACAATATACTCAAATTTTTTTTTCATCATTTACCTATTTTGTTAAAAAAACCTATATGAATCTCAGGGATGTAGTGAAAAAAAACAACTGAAATTCCGAGACGTCGCTTGACTAGATTCTATTTACAGTGCTTCGGATCCCCTGTCGGTGCCTTGAAAAATCAGAGTAGAAATCCATTGTTACGAGTTATGAGTATCTTGAACCATCGTGAAGGCACGAGTGTTTGCTAGACACGCGCTCTTATAGTATATAAGCCGGCAAATAAAGTGACGAGATAGATAATTGAATAGCAGACAGGGAGATAGAGACAGATAATCGAGTCAAGCCATAAGTAAAGTGTGTAAATCATTGTAAATTATAGCGTGTGTTTAAGTTAAAATGACTGTGGGAATTAAGTGTATTGCAAAGTTGTATTGAGAAATAATAAACTAGTTTTATTTGAGAAAGGACTTGTATCGCTGAAGTTCTTCGGAAGGAATTTTTATGGGTTGTTACGACAGCGGAAGTCACATGACGCTAGTAACACGTCATGATATTCTCGAAGGTTCGTGAATGCTCGAGTGTTTGCTAGATGTGCGGTATTATTGTATATAAGTGCGCCAGACAGTGAATCGATATAGAATTGCAGACAGACAGAGACGGACAATTGAGTCAAGTGCGGTAGCAAGTACAGTTGTATTGAGAAAGAATGAACTAGTTTTATTTAAGAAAGGACTCGTATCGCTAAAGTTTCATCCGAAAGAAATTATACGGGAAATTAACAAACGACCAGAGAGGTAACAGAGTAATTAACCAACGAACACAGAGGGATAACACCATGATTGATGTCATAGTGAAACGGCGTTCCGGTTTGTTCTTCCTCAACTCAACCACTGGTATCAAATTAACTTGCAACTGTTATTTTAATGAATAAGTCAGGATATTGAATCGAACGGCTGACATTATAGGTGTTTATCTAAAAGTACACTTACTCTTTTCGGTTGTCGTGTTCACTGATGACCCCTGTTAAAACATAGTCTCTGGGGACCAGGTAGTGCAAAATCGCATTCCATTTATTAACATACTCTGTCCAAGTGCAAGTGTTGTTGTCTGTACATTTATTTTCGTCTTTACAGCAATAGATTCTCCATCTAAATGATCAAACAATCATAATTTTAAAAATTCTCACTCTTTCTATATATATACATATACGTATATATTAGGATTCACAGATACACGATGTACACTAGCCCAGAGAAGTTAGTACGATTCCATATTTAGGCTTCAGGCTAAATAATCTGATCATACGATGCAATAACATCAGACTAAATAATCGGATCATATAATGTAATAACTTCATACTAACTATCTGATCATATAATGTAATAACTTCAGACTAAATAATCTGATTATATAATGTAATAACTTCAGACTAAATAATCTGATTATATAATGTAATAACTTCAGACTAAATAATCGGATATTATCGTACATTAACTTTAGACTAAATAGTAATGAAATTAATTCACGAGGAAATTACAAAAGTTATTATCGTTTTTGTTTAAAGTAACAAAATGAGTATAACAGATGAAAATAAATATTATTACTTTCTGTCTTCTTTGTTATTGTCATGGTAACTGTTGAAACCCGCGATCGCCTCTCCATTACCGCAGGTAAAATGAACGAGACCCTCCCAGTCGTTGACGTAATTTGTTAAATAGCACGATGGATCTTCAAAAGTTCTTTCACAGTAGAAATTCCAACGCCTATCCCGGTATCGGTTGTTATGGATACTAGAGAGAAATCACATTACTATATATATGCTATACTGTAAACATACGAAATTTCAGTTTTAGATATATAGTTTTTGTCTATTCAAATTATTGTAAACAACAAATCACATAGAGTTTTAACACGTTTTTCAGTTATTTCTACTACTTCAATTTTGAAATAATACGACTAATTGTAAATCAAACATTCTGGTGAAACACTGTACAGAGCTGCAGTTCCTAACTAAAAGGCCCCCCAGTGGCACAGCGGTATGTCTGCGGACTTACAACGCTAGAATCCGGGTTTCGAAACCCGTGGTGGGCAGAGCACAGATAGCCCATTGTGTAGCTTTGTGCTTAATTACAAAAACAATCCTAACTAAAGCACGCGAGTCTATTTCCATGGGTTGTACAGGGGGTAAAAATAGTTAAATACAATTATCTTGGAACTTCTTGCGGTTCCAAAAAGTAAAACAAATTTAGCAACATTAAGATAAGTAAACTTTAAAAATAATTTAAGAAAGCAAAACCTAGATATGGTCTTAATGGAGTCTTTCTCTTGACATTTAAAGTGCAAAACGCAATCCCAGTTGTTCCACCAAGCCTCTGCGAAGGTAAGAGTACTAAAAATGATTATGACGATTGCCGGGGAGTTCATGTTGGTTACGTTAGGTTAGTTGTCGAGTAGAGCCAAGCACAAGTTGTACGATCTTCGAATTTTATAGCGAAGTTTTCAACTAGGAAACGGAAAAAGGAACACCACTGACAGGAAACTGTTAGGCTTATCTACTTCGAAAAATAACTGGAGAGAACTAATCATAGGAACTGTTTCTTTTCTGTCAATATGGTCATTGTTTGATTTATTCCAGGTATACATATAGAAGTAGTCAAAAAATACTCGTAAGTTCAATCATCATCTGATACTAAGGAGTTTTTTTTTGTTTAAAAGTGTTTATGATAAATTATTACGGGCTATTAATTAACACTAACCTTTAGAAGGTCCGATATTATGTAAGATCGAGAAGATATAGATTTGATAAATTCATATTTTTGTACACTAGAACTGGTGAATTAGTGAGTTATTTTTTTTAAATATGAATATCAATGAGTTTTTATGTCTTACCAAAGTTATTTAAGATCCAGGTCAGTCAGAAACCCATTTAAAATGAAGGTTTGTTGTTGTTTTTTGCCCGAAAAAAATTAAATTTTCAGAATGATGTTTTGCGCGGAAAAATACCATAAAAACCGGATAATACTGCTGTATGTAAAAAAATTCAGCTGTTTCGATATCAATTTTCCATTTCTGTGCGGAGTTAATATGACGGAATATATGAAAAGACCAAGACCATGTGAGGAACGTAAGTACAAAAAATAGAAAAAGGAAGCAGTGAAATGTTTTTACATTGTGGTTCGCCAGCTATATATGCAGTTAAACATTGTCATATTATCCACGAGAGTAGACGTTGAGTAGTGCAAAAGATCCAAAAGTCAGTAAAAAATAGAGAAGGATGACCAGACGATCAGTGCTTAGGGGAGCTAATCAAGAGAGGCTCATTGATAGATTAGATGGCAGTTCAGATAATGAAGTTATTATGTCCATCTGAACCAGAAATGTTACAGGGATTGCTTGAAGATCCAAAAAGAATGGAAATGTATGCTAAAAAGAGTGTTTCGTTACAAAATTTACACAAGACGTACTAGAAGAAAACTAAAAACATGTTTATTCTCATTAATTATGCATTGAAATTGATTAATAACATCATTGGAAATAAAATAACTCGAATAGTTGCTAAAATCAAAGTATTCTGCATCTTTCCTTTGATTTTCCGGGAAGTCGGGAGTTAGCCGATCGTTTTCGTCTATTTCTACGCGACCAGAGAGGATTTTTAAATTGTGAAAGTTGCTCTCACCTTTTTTAGATCATTCCGCAC